CTTATCCAGTTTACAAATTCTTCAGCATAAGGCAACTGTTTTTATCTCTGAAAGTGGTACAGCTGAGGCAGCTAGTCAGACTATTGAACAGGAAGAGTGTCCTCATTAAAGTAGTCAGCTGCAGGGAGCAGGCAACCTGGATACTTATAAGAAGCCTATTTTCTGAGCAGCATGAGCATCTTCAATGCAGAGTGCTGAGCTCTGTTCCTTTTGCTGTTGGCTAGATCAAAGCTTGGCTGTCTGAGCCATCCAACTGCCAGGTAATATCTGCTTAAACTAAGGATTACAGCAGTGGCTCTTAAACTTGTCAGTAGCAAAAATATTTGACAATGAAAGGGAGTGCTGCAGGGCTCCAGCTGAGTAAAACAGGTTTATTGAATATGGAAAAAAGAAAACTCCAGTGTGTGTGTTAGCTCATTGAATTAAGCAATTCTTAATACAGTTATGTCTGGGAGGAGAGAATACATTTCTGTACCAAGTCATGTGCAAGCCTTGTGCTAAGTTGGACTGTAGTTGGTGCTGGAATAAGAGTCTGAGTGCCGCTTTGTAGGCAGGCTGAAAGTCAGATTGCCTCATGCAAGTAGGCATGGCACATGTTAAGGGATGTATTGTCGTGCCCCATAGGGTTATCTCACGGACTGAGGCTTGCAATTCACAGTTGCTATTTTTGCAATGCTGCAGTAAGAACAGGTTTGAGCCAAGTGTGCATTTTGTTGAATTAGCACTCATATTCAGTGTGTGTTTATATACAGGGAATTTGTGTGGGCCATGGAAAAAATGGACTTCTGGCTAGTGGTATGTCTCTTGGAATAAATAGTCTGCATGCTCCAAAGGAGGGAATATTTAAGTCCAAAACGTGCATGTAGTGGATGATTTTGAAGGTAGTGAACTATTTTTGGTCTTCATTTCTGCAATGCTGAGTTCATGGGCTTGCAGCAACATCTGTCAACTGTTATTCCACATGGAACACTTACTGAGCCTTATGTTCAGGATTGAGGCTTGTGAAATGTGCTTGACTAAAAATATATGTGCATAAGTGTATGTGAAAACACGTGTGTGTGTGTACATGTATTTAGGTGTTCCCCTACATAGGTGACTGCCTTTGTAACATGTTTATTGCATCACTAGGGCACTTGACCCTCATCTGTGGGGGGTAGCACTAAATAGATATTTCAATGTGCTGTTACATTTTGCTTTTTTGTTCTATGTATGTACTGATCTGTTTATGGTCTGAGAAACTTTTCACCACGTGTTAGTTGTCAAAATTTGCATGATGTATTTTTCTTGCAGCCTAATGCAATTTGAGGGTAATGTTAGTGCAACTTGAGGCTAGTAGAATACTGGAACAAGTAGCTCAAGGAGGTGGTAGAGTGATGGAGACCAAGTTGAAGATGCACAAAACCGAACTGGACGCAGTCTTGGGCAATGTGCTGTTGCTGATGCTGCTTGAGTAGGGCAGTTGAACTAAAATTTTCAAATATTTTTGACCCTGTATTAATATATTAGGATTACAGAAATGCTCCTCAAACTTTGGTGTAGGTCATATGGGAAGGTCATTGGACCCTGCTTACAGCTTGGCAGAGAGAGGGATTCATGACCTTTTTGTTGGCCGTGGCCATGCAGAGCTGAGAGCACAGCTTAATAATTGGCCTGAAAGCTGAAATAAATTTCCCTTGAGGTTATTCTGGTGAATAACTTGACCTAATGACTATAAATGCAGGTGCTAGTGTATCCTGTAGTACTTTTTTCAGGAGTTTTAGTCCCTTACTTCTCACCTTTATTCATGCCAGGCTACTGAAATGTACTGAAGAACTTGATGGAAATGCTGTAGCTGGAGAGATATATATAAAATTTATATATATATATAAACTGTAATATAATGGCATTTTATGAATACTCACTTCGGACAATTTGCGTGAATTTCAATGGAAATAAATGTTAAGACTTAGATCAGCATCTGTCTCTCTAAAAGTCAGATTTGAAAGCATTTGTAGGGAAGCTGTTCTAACTCACTGTTCCTGAGTAACTGGAGTGAGCTCTTGTTCCTGGCTCAGCATTGGAGAGGGTGGGTAATGAATGTTTTGTTTGACACTGTGTACATTTCCCTTGTCAGGGAAAACTATATTTTACTTGTCTGAGATGTGAGGATTTAGTCGTACAGTCAACCAGTCGGAGGTATAACACTTCATGCTGCTATATATGTGTTTAACGGAGTATTAAAGAACTTCTTTCCGTCTTGTTGTGTGTCTATCTGAAGTGTCTCATGTTGCGTTTGAACATTTTGCCTTAGACACTTCTAGTGTTTCTGGAGAGCAGTCTGAAAAGTGTCAAGATAACAGAGCTGTCTTGCATTGTATTTTGTTTTACAATTAGTAAACAAGTTTATTTCTGATGCTTTCATGGTTTTCTAGTTAAGACATAAGCAGGAATTTGAGACCCTTCACGTTAGAAATAAGTCACTAGGACACCTAATTCTGCTAGTTCTCAGACACGGGAAGGGGGCTAGTGATAATATTTCAAATCTAGCCTTCTAGAACATAATAAAAAGGACATGTTTAATATTTTCATATAATTGCTAGTTTTTATTATTTATAATAATTATTTTTAGTTGAAAATAGCTAAGTTGCATCTTGTAAGAAATATCATCTCAGCCCTTAAGCTGTAAGGCCTATAGCTGGATGTTTCATATCGTTACCCCCAGCACTCTTAAATATATTTTTTTTGAGATTGACAAAGGCCGGATGAGGTTGGCCAAGCCCACTGCGACAGCTGTCATTCCTAAAGACACTGGTGCTTATGCCTTGCATACGAGTCCATAGGGTAATCTATGTTAGTGGCATTTTTAGAAGGCACCCAGAATAGTTTCTTGAGAAGTAAGCTCACTTACTGACAGTTTACTGAATTGCCAGAAGGATTGGTAGTCTGGGTACGTATGTGGTTTACTAGCTGATTATACTTGGAGATGCTAGGCAAGATGATGGCCTAGAACTGGGAGTTTAACTGTCACCCTAAGTGCAATAGCATTTGTTAGTTTTGTTTCTAAGGTGTGTGGTGTGGTTTTTTATGTATTCTGTACTGCAAAACTCCATGGATTTCCTGTCTTTACTGGTGTCTAATGATAGACAATTTCTTCGCATTATAGAAATACTAGCAAAATGCAAGGTCTTTTGCAGACCTACATGAGGAAGTCTCGTTAAGACTAGACTTCCCGATAATCCTGACTGTCTGGGGAAAAAGCAGCTTCTCATTACTTCGGGGTCTGTTTCTGTAAAATGTCCAGCAAGAAAATGTCTGTGACTTGCTTGCTTTCTTCCTCCTTGCTTCTACTAACATGGCAACATTTTACAAGAATTTCCTGAAAGTTTTTCTCAGACAACCCCAAACATTAGCAACTTCTGTGTATGTTAAAGGGTCTTTCCATTCCCATAATTGTTTACCAAGCTGGTTATTCTTTGCTTGGGTACTTTCAGTGAGAAGTCTAATGTCAGACACAACTGGGGAGGTTCAGGGGGTTAGGGTTTTACTGGATAACATTTTTTAAAGCACCAATCAGGATTCCTTTTAGGATTTGTTTGTGGGTGTGTGTTTAATCAAACTTGCTTCAGAGTTAGTCCTTTCATGAAACATCCCACTGGCATTCTATCATGTTGCCATTTACTGGAAAATTATGGAATTAATTAATGGAAAATCAGTCAAGGTCCTGGGCACAAAGGGGAGTAGGTCTTACTTTTGTGTTTGGTTCCAGGTTGAAAAATTAGTTCTTATTGCCATCTAATGGCAACCAAGAGTAATATCTCAGATTATTCAGATTGCTCACTGCTTGCTTTGGCCTAAAAATGGACTGTCAGGGACACTTGAAATTCTATGTTTAGGTAGTGTACTGAGGCTAATTGTAAAGAATAATAAGCTATACAACTAGATAAAAGATGAATGTAGTCTTTCAGCGGCTAGAAGTTGGTGGGTTAGTAGAGAATTCTTTTCTATTGTGGCTCAAATACTTGTTTTCAAAAGCTGAAGACTGTTACTTTTTATTATGAGAATTATGTCCAGTCGTTCAATATGAGTGGTCTACACATGAGTCTATGAGTACAATGCCTAATAGGGGAGTCCAGTGGGAACATTTTCACCCCTGTTGAAAGCTGACATTAGGACTCGAGTACCTTAACAACATGGGTTCTCTTCATGGTTTGGGACTACTCTATGTAAACTAGATTAAATTGATTATGCTAATAATTTTGAAGAACTTGGGTTGCTGTACTAAAATAGACAGTATTTCTGTTTGGACAGAATCAGGGCATCAGATGGTTACTTTAATTACTTGTCTAAACAAGTAAAAAAGATTTGCTCCAAGAGAATTTCCTAGTGAAATGATTTTTTTTGATTGTAAAGTTTAATGCGCACTTCTGATGAGGCTCCTATCTAATGTGAAACAGTACACTCCATAGCTGCAACTTGGCAGACTGCATCAGGCAGTTTGAAACATCTGCATTTCAGTTGTCTACATGATGGTCAGAGTAGTTAAGCATTCTACTTCTCATATTTCTATCTCAATTCTGCAACTTAGTTTTTGTGCTAGTTGAATCTTCTCATGGTAATGATGGGTTTACCATCAGACAGCAGTCCATTAGGGCAAGTAGAGGTTCATCTGAGCTCCTTCATTAGGGAGGTTTCCTAAAACCAAGGCCCAGCTGTGCATGTGACTCTTGAGCTTTACTTGATGTGCTGTAGGCTCTGAGCTATGTTGAGGATTCGCTGAAGACAGGTGAGAGGGAGGACTGCTTCCTTTGCTTTGCACGAGTGCTTGGCATAAATTTGGTGTAGGCCATTTGACTTCATTTCTGTGTATAATAACATTTGGCGTGCTTTTTCTCTACTAATGAAGAGGGATAAAAACAGCACGGAGTTTGGGAGTAGGGCTCAAGTGTTGGTTTTCTGGCACACAGGGGTGTTGGTTGGAGGAATAGCAATCTCGCTTAGCTTTTCCTTTCTGTGTTCTTTAGGTGGCTTCTCAACTGTGTTTCTGGTACGAACCCATGGTGGAGTACGATGTGCATTGAAACGAATGTGTGTTAACAGTGTGCCAGATCTCAACATATGCAAGAGAGAAATTACAATTATGGTAAGTAGGACATGACTTGAAATTGTTGTATGTACCCATTTACACGATGTATATGATACTTCTCTTTGCTAAATGCCTTTGCTTGTAAACTGTTTTCCTTGTGCCTTATGGCACTGGGTTTCTGCAGTTTTCTTCTAGGAGTTTAGTGCTCAGTGTAGGATTAGTACGTGATGAACTTAGAAAGCAACTACGAGAATAGATTTGATTCCATAGTTGATAGTTTAATTATTAAATTTGCTTCCCAGTAAAAAATATTTAGTTTGGATACTCAAGTGATAGCTTAATTCTTAAAGTTCTACATGACACCTATTAATTTTATATGCCACAGTTATATATGCCCTAGTTAGGCTGTTGATAACTTTGGCTAGTATTGTCATCTACTGTAGACTTTTATAGGCTCTACTATAGGCTTGTTTGAGTCATCCAACATGGAGAAAATTGTTATGAGTGTGGATTAAAACCATGAACTCCACTGCATAGCTTACATCATCAGTGTGGATTATTTTATTTGTTTATTCTTTGAGCTGATGAAGAATAAACCAAGAGAAACAGAGATTTTTTTGGCAGTATTGCCCCTTCTTTGTTTATAGTTCTCCTGTGAGGTACTCACCCTGAAAGTGGCAAGAGGAACTTGACTTTTATGTTTTTCTCTGTTGGCTCTCAAGACTGTCCATAAGATGAGTACACAGTGTTGTTTCAGATGACAGCCATTTGGACTGGTATGCATGTTCTATGTTGAAATATACTCTTTTTTCCCCCTCCCATATCTTACAGAAAGAGTTGTCTGGGCACAAGAATATTGTTGTTTATTTGGACTGTGCGGTTAATTCTATAAGCGATAATGTTTGGGAGGTACTCATTCTCATGGAATATTGTCGAGGTAAGAGATTATTCTTTAGATTTTGCCCTTGTATTGCTGGACTTGGATTTTGATGTAAGGGATAAAGTCTAGACTCTCAGCTGGAAACCAATCGCCTATTTTCAGATTTCTGTTTCGTGTTGGTAGTATGCACTGAATTTGCATGCGTAGATAAAATGTGCAAGACATTTCCATAGGGCTTTGTAACTGAGTTTGCGGCCTGCAGGGACGGGGCGATGCAGATGCTCGAGCACCCGATGGGCACACAGTGCTCAAGCCAAGGTTTTGGCATCTGGGCTCCCTTGCAGTGCCCTGGTGATAGGATGAGAAGGATGGGGAGGTCCCAGGCACTGCTGAGCACTGGTCCTTGGCGAGGAGCAGGGAGGGAAGGGGAACCTGTGCTCTCGTAGAACTATTAAACATGGTTGTCACCTGTTAAAACTCACTTGGCGCTAATAGTGCCTAGTAGGCATCGTTATATGATAGAATTTATAAAAACAAGCTGAATTCTGTGTTACACTGTCTCGCGTGCATGTTGTATGTGACATAGCCATAAGCCAAGCGTTGACCATAGTATGGTTAGGCCAGCATGTTTCAGAACAGTCTGGTCAGTCACCATGGCCTGTTGTTTGCAGCAGTTTGTCCTGAAGTGATTTCTGTCGTACAGTTCTGGTTTGCTTGTTTGAGGTGGTAGTTATTCTGTCTAGGGTGACATTGGATTTCAAGACTGGAAAATAAGACTGCTTGATTTTATGTAAAACATGATTGGATCTTAATTATGCCCTTTTTTATTGTGGAAAACTTAGTACTATAAATCATACCAAGTAACAGAAAAAACAAACTAACTAACTAAAGTGTATGCTACTTCTTCAGCTGGACAGGTTGTGAATCAGATGAATCAGCGTCTGCAGACAGGCTTTACCGAATCAGAAGTAATGAGAATATTTTGTGATACCTGTGAAGCTGTCGCCAGGTTGCATCAATGCAAAACTCCTATAGTTCACCGGGATCTCAAGGTATGAGTTTTAAATGCCAAGAAATCTATAGCTGAAGAAGAGCCATCCCCTTCAAGACCATGAGTGTGCTTTTAAGAGCTTGACTTGTAGTGGGGGAAATAGGTGCTTTTGGAGGAGTTAAAATCAGAAAACTAAACAAGTTTGATCAACATCATTGTTCGTACGTGCTAGGTTGATTATTTGGTTCTTCTGAAAACTATTTTTTTGTGCGAGTTTGGAAGAGGAAGAAGGTGTTTTAATAGTGAGCTTGAAGATGAATGCCATTGTTTCATGTCATGTTGCTCTTTGTCTGATTTTCTTTGCAGGTGGAGAATATATTGTTAAACGATAGTGGAAATTATGTTCTTTGTGATTTTGGCAGCGCCACTAACAAATTTCTAAATCCTCAAAAGGATGGTGTTAATTTGGTTGAGGAAGAAATTAAAAAGTAAGTTTGCTTCACTCTCAAGCGACTTATCAGAAGCACTCGATATGCTGCTGGACAGTCGGTGTATTAGTCTCTGATCTTGTGCATTCTAAGAGGCAGTGGTTGAACTGCTTATTGGTTTAACTTAGTGGTTGAAGAAATATTGAGATGAATGTAGGAAAAGAACAAAATTGTTTAGTAATGAAGTTTTTCCCAATTTATTTGCTGATTGTTTCTGCATAGATGGCACTGAGTGGAATAAGAGCATTTAGAAAAGGATCAAGCTTGGAAATCTAACAGATGGCCAATATTCATCTGTCTAATGTCTAATTGAGGAATCTATTTTCAATTGGATCATTTTAATAGAACAAACTGTAAATGTATGAGAGGACAAGGACTGGCATTTTTAAGCATTAGAATGGGTCTGTATGTGATCTTACCGATCAAGTGCTCTCTGTTCTTACTTTCAAGACTGATCACAAAGCTAACTGTTCTAAGAGCCTTCTTAAATAGGCATTGGGTAGTTTTTGCCCTTTAACTGTTGCAGGGGAATGAACACTCTTTGAAATTATCATGTGTTATCTCTTTCAGCACTAAAAAAAAAATACTCTTCAAAATTTGAACTATCTTTTGAGAAATTAATTGTCTTGAAGTGTGCCTACTGTACATTTAAGCACTTAACTAAATTGTACGTGTTTCATAGAACTATTTGATTATAGCAGTATGTAAGTATAGAGGCACTATACTTGCACTTCCCTCAGGCTGGATAAGTATTTTTAAGAGGAAATTTTAGCCGATTGGACACGGCCATCCTCAGTAGTCCCCGATATAGAGCTACCCCAGATATTCTCTCTTTGCCTTTTGCTCTTACGCTTTTGTTAGTGAGATTGCAGAACCAAACTCAAGTAGTGTAAACAAGTTCTGGAAAATATCAGAAACCTGGATGTGAATAGACCCTGGGAAAGGTGCCCTTGGTCCTGAGGCAAGTTTTTCATCTGTGTTATCTTTGTATTTTGTTCCGTTAGGTATACAACGCTCTCCTACAGAGCTCCTGAAATGATCAACCTGTATGGAGGGAAACCAATTACTACCAAGGCAGATATCTGGGTGAGTTAAAATATATATAATAAACTGTGGCCCCTTTTATTTAGGGTAAGAAATGGTTAAAAATCGAGCTGACCTAACTGTAAAGCTATTACTCTGAAAGAAGGGAGGCTGTATGTGCCTGAGTATAACAGAGGGAGTTGTTTGGCATGTGCAGTGAGCACCATGTGTGGTGAGGGTTTTCAGTTAACGGGAATTATTTAGTTTTTCTGCTTTTGTTTGACTCAAATTATTACTTAGTAGTCACCAGTGATTTCTCACAGAAACCTGGGGACACCAGGATATAGGTAAGTCTGCGTAGTAGGTGATGTGCTTGAAAGCTGCTGCGGTGCAGTAAATAAAGACCATAATGAACAGAAACATGACCAGTATCCTTAGGCCTCATGAGTGTGCACATGCAGCTTTAGTTTTAGCAGTTGTTGCTGTCTAACATAATACTCAGTGGGAAGGAAAGCTCATGTAGCACTGCTCTTCATAGACTGGCTTATTGCATCAGCAGAACATTTTAACGTGTGGGCCCTACGTGCCAGTGCAAGTGTCAGCCACGGCTAGGATGCCATTTGTTCCTAGCTGACGTTTCCTTGTTGCTGAAGTGCCTCACTCGTTGCTTCACAGTGCCTCTGTTTGCTTTTACAGGCACTTGGCTGCTTGCTGTATAAACTTTGTTTCTTTTCGCTTCCCTTTGGAGAGAGTCAAGTTGCTATTTGCGATGGAAGTTTTACCATTCCGGACAATTCCCGATACACTCACAGTATGCACTGCTTGATAAGTAAGTAGCTGCACAGCATTCGACTGCTCGTCTCAGAAACAAAACAACCTCCTGTTGATATGCAAGAGTGACTCTAGATGTGTCTCAGTCAGTCAACAGCCCAGTCAGGCTACGCCATTTATCCAAGCTAGACAGATATGGTTAGCTGGGTGAATCTGAAGTGCGAGTTCAGTGTAGGAACTTCAGTTTGCAGAGGTGAATCACACTAGAAAAGATATTAGAACCGGTTTGGAGTTTATAATAGAATATCAATAGGAAGTTCTGTGTGCAACCAAAACTCTGGAGTATCAACTCTGCTAAAAATTGGCAGGTGTCAAGGATATAGAGGAAAACTGGGAGGAGAAGTGGGTTTTGAGGTTAGCCTTTTGCATCTTGATCTGAATACAAGGATACTAGATCTAAGATTTGCATTAAGAACCAGACTTTTCAGATGTCTTCATTTTGAAGTGGGACCAAGTCGACTTCAAAAGAGTGCCTCTCAAAACGTAGTAATAGGAGGATGTTGATACAAGAGCTCTTGAATTCAAAGCTGATAAATCAGCTTTGGGAGGCAGGGGAGGAGGGAAGATAGAAGGGGAAGAAAAAATAGCAAGCTGCACCTTTTCCACCTTATGAATGTAAGGTTTCAGGATCAAGTGGCAGGGGTCACTTCATAAGTTTCCATTCTCAGTGAATGGAATCATCCTCATCCTTCTCAGTGAGACTTTCTGCCTGCATGGAATTCATATTCTCCATCTGGGAGATGGAAAATTTTTTTTTAATAAGCTTACATGTCAGATGAACCACACGGGATAGAAAATAATGTAGTCTTATGTAAACAATAAAACAGATATTTTAGTGTATTTGTATTCAGTTGCACTGAGTTTGATAATAACCATAGTAAATTCTCATCCAGGGCATTATTTTCTTTCTAAGTAATGACTTAGTACTTCAAAACACTTGATTTTCACTTGTAGCATGATGTCTAACAGACATTTCATTTTTAAAAAGCAGGATCTGCTCTTTCCGCTTTTTGCAGGGTATATGCTTGAACCAGATCAAGAAAAGAGGCCAGATATCTTTCAAGTATCTTTCTTTGCCTTTAAGCTTGCCAAAAAGGATTGTCCAGTGTCCAATATTAATGTAAGTAGTCTTTATTTTTTCTCCATATTTTTACTGGGTGTCATAGATTTCATATGTCTTAGAGCTATTAAAAAAAGTCTATCAAGTCGACAGAGAAAGGTTTTAATTTCTTCTTCAAACTTGGTCTCTGAAATGAAAATATTGGACTGAATAAATCTCATGCACAGACTGAACTCATGAAATGTTACCATTCTAAACAAAAAGGCAATTCTGAAGACATGGCTTCATGGATTAGACATGGCCTGTGCTTTTAACCCTTAACCTTAATATTAATATGAGGAAAGATTTGCCTCCTTCCTTGAGTACAGTGAATAACTAAAGGTTGGAGAGAAGGAATGGTGTGAAATGACGTTCTTCCTAACCATAACTTCTCTGTATCTTGCTGGTGGAAAGTGTCATGATATGATCCTTCGTCTTCTGAGATCTCTGAGCAGTGGTGTCAGCAACGCTAGCAGCAGCAAGTGTGTTTGCTGGGACTTTAAGCTGTCAGGGATTGTGGCAATTAGAGGGTTTCAGAGAACAAGGCGATTTCAAACTGTGACTGGTCACTGTTACAAGTGACTAGTCTGACCTCTTCCGTCACAGAGGTAAATTGTAGTTCGGGATGAGATTTGGGACTGCGGGAGGAGAGGTAGATAGTTTGTAAATGAAGGATTCGAGACTTGTACTGCTGTGGTGATTGGTTTTAAGTGAGGAAAAGGCTTCTGAGTATTTGAAGGCCAATATTATCACTTGGTGTTTTGGAGCGTGGGAGTAAAGGATTAAGTTGAACCTTGCAGGTTTTGCGGAGATGAGTGGGTTAAACTATTATTTCACCTAAAATTTAGGATTTGTTAAAATCCTTAAACAGAGGGTTAATTTTTTTTATCTTGCTGTTCTTTACAATTATAAGCAAATTAGAAAAGAAACATCTTGGAGAAGCATTTTACTCAACTGCTGCTCATTGGTAGCGTGTAAGTGAAGTGAAGCTGGTGAGGTGATAGTGCTTCAGACGAGTAATGTGTTAGTTGCTATTACCTTCATAACAGAGCGTTGGAAAACTGTTAGAGTAAAACACACTTAAATCTACAGCCAGGTGAGTGTGTTCTGCATGACGCCTTGTAACATGAATAACTTGGGTATTCCTCTTATTTTTTCCTCTTCAATTTGTAATGATTTTTTTCTTTCAGGACTTTGCTTTTTTAATTTATTCAAATTTATTTTTCCCAAGAATTCTCCTGTCCCCTCCACTCTCCCTGAACCCATGACTGCTAGTGAGGCAGCTGCAAGAAAAAGCCAAATGAAAGCAAGGTGAGTGAAAGGTATAGTGTTTTGTTTGTTTTTGCTGAATTTCTTTAAATTGGACATGGATTGTCTGAAATAAGGTGGTTATATATAAATAGTCTGAAATCAAGTAATAAATAGACTTCAGAAGCAGAAATCATAATACCTACACCACAAATGCAAATGCTTCTAAGTCTTGGGGTTTTATTCCAATGCTTATTTTGATGTAATGACAGTCTATTGAGAGAAAGCTAAAGATTCCCCTTTCATCATGGAAACAGCTAACTGCTAGCACTATGCACTTGGTCTCCATTTCTTTTAGTGTCAGGAGTATATTTTGAGACAAAAATGTTTTAGTAGAGGTTCATGGATGAAATCAGAAGTGCGTCATTTAACTGATTGCTGAATTTGTAAACAAGTGGCCCAGGTTTCTTCACAAATTCAACTCCCTGTGTCCAGATATCCTTTTGCACTGTTCAGTTTGTTTTTAAAAAAGATTAAGAATTCTTGATCTTTGTCTTCATTTTGCTATGATAAAGGGTGTATCCTTTATAGCTGGAAGATATCTTTGCATTTTTGCTCTGCAGTAATCTAAGTTTGGGGGGCTTGAATGGTCCTGAATTAATAAGTATTTAGCAGCTCAATTTTGGCAGTGACTCTATTAGTCTTTGTGAATGAGAAGCAAATTAGCGTGCTCATTAATTGCGCTTTGGGCTGTGTAGATATTTCTGTGGTATTTTAAATGAATTTTGTGGTCTGGCACCATTGTTGGTTTTGCAGACCCTGACATCTATGTGTGCAGTAGAAGGCAGACATAGGGTCTTTGTGGAACATTTTCAACTCCAGCTGAATCTGTCAGACACTATTAGGAAAATTCCTAGTTCTTCCAAAAGATGATTTTGCTCCTAGCCAGACTTTACAGCAAGTAAAACAGATGGTGTCTTAGTATAAATACAGTAGTAATTAATACAAGATGTTTAGTGCTTGTAGCCGAGATGGTAAATTACTGTTTTTAAGCAGTTTGCCTATTTTAAGAAATTCCTAGAGTATAACCTGAAAATGTGAGGAAAGCTTTGGAGTAGTTCTTTGGTTTCGAACATGTTTTTTTTAAGCTGGCAGAATATTGTATTGCTCGAAAATATTTTAGGGGAAGACTTAAGTTGTTGGAGGAAGTGACAGGTGATATGAATGCTAGAGATTAAACCTCTCTTAGTAAAGCAGAAAAAATGACCAAACAGGTAAGGTGGCTCCTTATTTTCTGTGTGTGAACAGTAGTTGTATTTCCGGTTATAGGACACTGCATATTTAAGTCATGAATGCCAATTCGAGTGATTTCTACGGGGATTTATTTTATCTTTATCTCGTGCCTTGGTCTCCTTGGGAATAAGGCTGTTGAGTAGCTCCTTCTTATAGGGCTGTTTAGCTGTCCTATTTGTTAAGGTGTGCTGGATGACTTCATCAGCCAATTTTAAGATGTTAGGACCTCATTGAAAAGGAGAGAAGCCTGTGACTCAAGTCTAATTGAGCAATTAGGACATATATTTTCTAACTGGCAAAAGAAGTAGTAGACATTTTGAATGAAGTAGCTTCTATGGAACACTTTACATTTCAGAATAACAGACACCGTTGGACCAACAGAAACCTCAATTGCACCACGACAAAGACCAAAGGCCAATGCAAGCACTGCGACTCCAAGTGTGCTGACGATCCAGAGTTCGGCAACACCAGTCAAAGTGCAAGTTCCTGGTGAATTTGGTAATCGTGGGCAAAAAGGTAACTCGCTCGGTCCTTCAGTTGTTCTAGTTAACCCTTAAAATATGCTGTGAATTTCTTTCTTGTTGCCCTAATAAGCCATAGGACATTAGTCTTCATTCCTTCTCATTTTACACACTAAGGAGGAAATTTTCATCATCTCTGGAAGGACCAGTAGCAAATTTGGCCAGGATCCACAAATACGAAGCAGAGTCGAGATGAAGAGTTTGTTTGAACACACTTTATGTGCTATTTTTAGTTCAAGTAACTGCCACGGTGTGAGATGAGTTCATTAAGTTTTGTCTAAGAAGTAAGTTATTAGAAGTAATCTTTCTACTTTAGCAAGAAAGACCTTCCTTCCTCTTAGAATAAATGTTGTTCTTTCACCGTAACAAACCCCAACATGGCAATAAAATCTTGGTATTATCTGTAGGCTGATGCCATGTAAAAAATTCACCTCTCTAATGATTGACCAATGTTTTCCACATGCACTTTGGGTGCAAGAAAAGGGTAGCAGTGGGAGATGCGATCATGTAAAATGTATCTTCAGTAAGTCCTGGAGTGTGGGTGTGCATGTGTTGGGTTTTTCCTACTCTCCGTAGAAGAGTAAATGTGAATAATGTTAATTTGCATCTTGAATACATTCTAGCGCTTTCTGATATTATGAGTCTATTGCGATATTTGCACTGAGTACACATGTGGAAGGCCAGGTGTACTACTAAATAGAGGCACTAATCAGGCCTGAGTGTACATGAAGATAACGCTTAGGAAGGTGAAAAAAGATGCCCTTTGCTGCAGCAAGAGAGAGTTTAGCAATCAGGGACTCTTGAGAGAAAAATGAATCTTGTGGCCCTAGTTAGTTTTTGCCTCCTATATGATGAAATGTAAGGCTTTGTGTTTAAAAAAAACAAAAACAAACAAACAAAGAAAACCTTCCCTGCGTTCCATGTCTTCTTCCTTCTAGGGGAGAAATAGATGATATGCATGTTCCTGTTGTCTGACTTGCTTCTTCCTAACAGCAACTTCTCAAAAAAACATAAAGTAACAGGATGCAAATCCTGTGTTGACTGTAATTTCAGAATATTTAAGGTTGGAAGGGACCTCTACAGATCATCTAGTCCAACCTTCCTGCTCAAGCAGGCACACCTAGAGCATGTGGCACAGGGTGGCATCCAGGCGGGTTTTGAAGACCTCCAGAGAAGGAGACTCCAC